GATGGGAAAACTCAGCTTAGAGCAGGAGCCACAGATCCAGCTCTCTCTGGGACAGGAGCAGTGCCACCACCACAGTCCAGGGTCCCATCTTGGGGTGGGACAGGCTCAAGGGGTTGGGGACACTCAAACAGCTCCTCCCTGCTCCGCTCCCCCTGCCCCAGCTCCCTCCCAAATCTGTGATTTTGGATCCCCAGCCTTTCCAAGCCCAGCTCAGCCCCTCAGTGCCATCTCCYGTGCCCACACCCCRCAGCCTCATCAAGAGCAGCAGAATYGCTTTCATCAGCTTCTTTCAAATAAGAATTCGGGCTGCAAACTGCCAAAGTCATTCCCCAGGTCCTGCCAAGCCCTTCGCCGCAGGCAAAGGAGCTGAGACGTCCCTCAGCATCAATTTTGTTTGTTTATTTATWAAGTTCACATGTTTGATCTTTGTTTAGCAATGTTTTCATCTCCCTGGCCCGTGGTAAGAACACAGCAGCTCTTGACTCAAAGAATCATGAGTTCTCTRTTCCCAGCTCTGGAAAGAATCCAGCACCAGCTCACAAAGCTCATCCTAAATTAAGCCAGGCCTAGTGGAGGGAGAAGAGCTGCTAACCCCGACTGCTCATCCCTCCCAGTTCCAACCCAGGCTCCGGATTTCACCTGAAATTGAGACTTTTCAGAAATTCCCTCGTGATTAATTCACCTCCTGCTCTGGGGTTGGTTTTGAACGCTGTCATTGTGGCTCCAGAGTGCTCAATCACAGCTTCTGACACTCCTGGAAAATCTTTAATCTTTAATCCAGATTAAAACATTTGGGGATGGTGGAGCTGCTGCCTTTCCCTTGCTGGGAGGTTCAGCTGCCTCCAGGAGACCCCACAAACCCAAACTCTTGGGAAGGAACAGCTCCAGGGAATTTCACTTTTGCAGAGTGAATTCAGTGAAGCAAAAGCCCCAAGAGCAGCTCCTAAACTTTTGGGATTGAAAAATCTAACATTCCATAAACACCATCCCTGATTCATCAAAGGCTTCCTGTGGTCCAGGACAGTTAAACACATTCCTGATTATTCCTGATTAATGATCCCCACATCCATCCTGTCCTGGAAATTTCAGAAACAGCAAAACCATTCAGCTCATCCTCAGCTTTCTTCTCCATTTCCTAAAAATCTCCACAAATCTCCACCCTCTRACAAATTCCTTTATTCCTACACCAGGAAAAGCAGAGACACTTCCAGGGTCTCCTCAGCCTTTCAGCTTCTGCATTTTGCTGCTGTTTGTAAGAAAAATGAGCTGAGGAAACAATCAGAATATGGAATTCTGGATTTGAAAGCAAAAGGCAGCAAAGAAACTCATCCAAAACTCTGGAATTCTGCATTGGGATCCATTCAATCTCAACTCCTGAAATGACCACTCAGGGGGTGGAAGCTGAACCAAATTTAAGATTTTTTTAATGTCTTTTTTAACCAAATCTGTCCATCTTTGAAAATCTGTATTCCACAGAAAAACAGGCTACCAAGGTTTGTTCTTAGCTTTCCACTTAAAATCKGAGAAAATCTCACTTCTCCTAAAGAAATTGTGGAAAGTCATTATTTCTCAACTTGTTCTAAATTTTAGGGAAGTTTTTTAATTTTCAGGGGCACTTCTAATGTCAGAAGTWACACCAATTCTSCTTTAAATTACAACTRAAAAACCCYTAAAYATGAAGGCCAAAAATGGAGAAYAYAATTAYTAATAARATGTAGTTTAGCACAYCACCCTRCACATGAAATCTTCAGAAATAAAAGAAAGACCTGCTTGGTAGTGAAAATATAATTTTATTTAACAATAGCTGCCAGCAGTATACTGGTATATCTGTAAAAGATGTTCCAGAAAGTGAAAGACATAAGCAAACTACAACAAATTGTATCAACTCTTCAAGTATTTCTGCAAAACCACGCTCCAATCCTTGATGTCCTGTCTTGGGATTTCCTAACCCTGCTCCAACCCCCTCCAGAAATAAAATCCAAGAGTTGGTGGCACAGGTTCTGAGGCAGATGAAGCTTTTTTTTTTTTTTTTTTTCACTTGGGTTATAGCTTTCTCCTGAAAAATATTCATGGGATGCATTCAGATGGTTCTGAGTGGCAAAGGGAACACAACAGAGTTGGCTGCACTTCACCATTTTTTGTTCTGCACCCAGATAGGCATCAGTGGGTTTGGCTGGAGCAGCTTCAATTTATTCCTGTCTCTGCTCCTTTGATACCAAATGCTAATTTGCTGCTTTAGCATAAAAATTTGATTACATCTCTGTTCTTATCACGCAGCTCTCGATCGGTTTGGACATGCCCAGTGTGGAGAAAAACAGAGATTTGATGGGAAAAAGCAAAGCTGAAAGCTGGGATTGCCCCTTATGGGATGTCCAGGGGGGAAAATGGACACACAGGAAYGTTGTGGGGTGGATGGAATTGTTCCAAAAATCCACAAATCCTCTTGTTCAGCAGGCAGCCTTTCCACAGCAGAGATTTCTTCAAGAAGGAAAGCTTTATTAAGATGGAAAAAAAAATAATAATAGTGCATCTAGGATAATGTGATCTCCCACACAAAAACAGGGTGCAGGTGATGGATTTTCCCTTTGTGTTCAGGAAATACACAAGTCACCTGTTTTAATGTGAATTTAAGCATATTTCAGCTTGAGAATAAAGTAAGTTATTCAGCATGCTAATACATGCAACCAACTTGCAAACTGGAATGCCTACTTGAAAGGGTAACTGCTGTTTTTAAATTGGAGAAGGGGCTAGAAGCAGCATTTTAAATTTAAACAGGGGGTAGATTAATTGCTGTTTGATGAAATTAAAAATGCATTTAAAGATCAGATTGTAAACAAGTTGACAGAAGTCAGGAATTTACATAGTTATGAAAGGTTTTTTTTTTTTTTTTAATTAGCGTGGAGCTGGTGATTGGGGCCAGATGAAAGTGCTCTGCCCACACCAGACGCTGGGATCACCTACAGAGCCAGGAGCTGCTCCTCTCCACCAGATTCCTGCTCCTTCCACAACAAAACTGCAGCAGGAAAACTGAAAAACACCCAGGACAATTCCCAGTGCCAAACTGGGGCTGCTGGAGACTCCACCTCGGCTGTGCTGAGATAAGAAAGCCACYGGTCACAGACATGGCTTGAACTTTGTTTACAAGCTCTCAGACACAATTAAAACACCAGCAGGGAATGGGAATGGGAATGGTTTGAGGGTTGTCTGAGCAGCAGAGGGAWGGGGTTTGTGGAGCTGGGGTTTGTTTGCAGCAGTTTGGGATCTCCTGGCAGTGCTGTGCCCTGCACTGGTGGATAATTCACCCAAAAGGAATGACTGACTCTTCAATCTGACTCCTACAAATCCCCTGACACCACTGCCAAGGGCCATCCTGATTTAATTCTCAAAGGACTGCTAAAAACTTCACCAAGTTACACCCACAGTCACATTGCTTCCTACAGCTTTGTGAACAACACCATGGCAGAGAGCACCAAACCAAGGAGGGCTGGGCTGGGGTTTATTTTTTACCCTAAATGTCATTAAAACGCTGCTATCTAAATAAAAAAAATCACTCTTTTTCCTAGATGTCACATTGTAGCAGATACTGAAGCCCTACAAAATATTTTTATGGTTGACAAACTTCACTCAGGAGGAGAAGGTGACACAGGAATACAGTAATTATTGAAGGGCTTTCCTAAGCAGGATTTTCTCTCTGTGCCTAAACATTCCTGTACCAAATCAGAACAGGGATGAAATTATCAGAGTTGCCTTTGACAGAGATGTGACAGGATTGCTAATTGCCTTTTTATTGGAATTCTAGCTCTAGGAAGGCAAGGCAAGGCACCACAAGCCAGGTATACAAATATGGATCTGGTTCTCTACCTCTTCTATGTCAAACTAACTCCATGGGTATATAAAGTAGCAAAAGCAGGAGGTTTGGAAAAGTCAGGCTGGTTTTTAGAAAGCCAGTGCTTACCAAAAAAAAAAAAAAAAAAAAAAAAAAAAAAAAAAAAAAANAAAAAAAAAAAAAAAAAAAAAAAAAAAAAAAAAAAAAAAAAAAATTAGTGTAAAAAAAGTGTTTATGTGAGCATTTCCTCGTTATTGCAGAATGTTAAATATTCCAAGAACAACCTAGCAGGAATAGCACTTTTCCAGCTTCTAAAATCAGTTAAATATAAAAGTATCTTTACAAAAAAATAGGCATATAAGTCTAGCATTCTTTGGAGTTGTTTATGATGGTCTTTTAAAAATAACCTAGCAGTTTATTTCGTGCATCAAAATCATTAATTTTAAACAAGAAAACTATTCCCTGGTTTAGAAACATTTGAAAATTGCTTTTAAAAAAATTGTAGTGCTATTCCTCAGTGTTGCTGTAAAAAGATTTAAGTATAGTAGTGCAATGATTATGAGTATGCAAAACTGCAGTCCAGGTGCACAAACATTTGGGATAAATTCAATGGAAAGGACTGGATTCCACCACCAWWWCTTTACAAAATTCCCARATTTCCTTTCAGGAAAAAAAAAMCCAACCCAAAACTATCATTTAAGGCAAATGTTCTCTTTGAAGGTCACTTTAGCTTTCTTCAGGGAAGAAAGGGCATCACAAAGCTCCCATTTCATGGCTCTCAGTCCATTTTGCATCCCTAATCATTGCACTGCTATTCCCCACCCCGAGTTCCCAGCTAGGACACTACAGTWTCCATGGACTTGCTTCATGACACAACAGATTTGGGAGTAAAAATCACCAAAAAAAAGACCTATACAAAACAAAGGCTCTTAACTACCAAAAAGAAAGCCACTTGCAATAATTCTYAAGGTGAACAGAGGGCAGCTTCCAACTCTGCTGCTTGCTGATGGTAAATCCTGACAATTACTTGTTTGCTGCAACTCAAAATTCGGGATAAATGCAGGTGTTTAAATCTCCTCAAGCTCTTGAAGACACAATAAATGTTAATTCTGAACTTTGAGATTCCTGCTCCAGCTCTTAAGCCTGGWTTCAAACTTTCCTGATGTTGAGGTCATTCAAATCCAAGTTGCACATCGAGTCCGTTCTCAACCATTACTGTGACTTCAAATCCAAGAGATTTAAAAATAACACAACAAAATATTGCCAAATATTCTGCAAATGGCTCTTTTGGAAACTAAGTTCCCTTCTCTATGTAAATAGGATAGACAAGCAGGTACAGTTCAATGTGTCACAGGTCTGACAATCGTGTACAGATCTTCTGGAAAAGCAATAAATTCCAAAATACATAAATATTCCTTGTACCATAGAGTGAGACARGATCCTAAACCAATTCCTGGACAAATCATGAACCAAATGTTTACAGAGAAAAGCAGCAGGGGCAAAACAACCCTTCAAACTGAAGAATCCAGAGTCACCCCAGCTCAACGGGAATGGCCAAAATTCAAAGGCTGTGACAGCAGGTCAGGAGAAAACGAGCCTGTAATTAACTCTGCAAACTTTAGGTAATTACTGTACCTGGTCTATCCACCGTGACTTGGAGTAACTGCAAGTTCATGCAAAAAAAAAAAAAAAACCAATTGCTATTTGATATGAAAAGAGCAGTCTGTTAGAAGCGTTGTTATGGGATATGCAGGATGCCATCCTTTGCAAGTGCTGATTACTTGGTGAGTCTCTTGGCTACATCACTGTAAGCTATTTCAATCTCCTTGTCTCCAGGACAGGTGTTGGTGAATTCATCCCTGCTGTAGGCATTTGTCAGGTATCTCCAGATCCCTGTCATTTCCTTGGGAATCTCAAAGTTGCGGTATTTTTTGGCCACCACCTGGGATAAAAAGAATTGTATTGTGAATTTACAGCCTTAATTTTGTTTTCCAGTCTTGGTCACTCTTTTGTGAGGTTATGGTTCCAATTTGGATGCTTGGAATGACTCCTGAAATTCCCAGAGCTGTTCCTCAGGGGTGTTCCCAAAGCTGTTTTTCAGGGATGTTCCTGCCTCGCTCCCTCTGGGTTTATCCTCACCCAAGAAAACTGAGCCTGTGGCTCCATCTGCAGTACAGAACTGACACAGATCACTGCAGGCAGCAGAAGAAATCAAACCAAACTTGTGTGGGCACATCTGCACTGCTGTGGTTACCCCAGGCCACCTCTTCTAAAATTCCAACTTGGTTTTTTTAACACAATCCTTTTCTTTCCCATTTATTCTGTCCCAAAGGAGCAGTTTTCTCTGCAAACACCCATTTCAACCATTACCTGCTCACCTGAGCTTCACTTTCCCCTTTCCTGTGAGCTCTGCACTCTCTGTGACCACAGGGGAAGCACAGAAAATGGGGTTTGGTTCCATTCAAACCCTCTGCACTGAACTCAGCAGCTCCAGCCTCAAAACCCTCATGAATGACTCAAACCTCACACAATTTCAGGCACTAACAGAGCAGTTAAGCTTACAAAAGTGAGAATGTCACAAAGGACAAACACTTTGCCCTGAACTCTCTGTTTTTACCTTGACAATGTGCAGTTTGGGCAGCAGGTTGCAGTCAGCCAAGGTCATCTCATTTCCATCCAGGAATTTACGGGTGGAGATTGTGATGTCCTCCAGGCTGTTCTCATCGATCTCATCAGGGAGGGGGGAGTTCAGGTACTCATCCAACTTCTGCAGGGTTTTCAACAGGCCACGTTCTAAGGCTGCACGGGAAGGGACAATTTCAGAAAAAATTATAAACTGAGACTGGTACCAGACGTGAAATACAAACCCCACATCCTTCTGCTGCCCAGAAATCCTGAAAGATTTGTAACCCCTGTTCAGTT